ATAATTTGTGGCAGGCAGCTCCCTTCCCTTGCAAATTGGTGTGCAGAGGTGCTTGTCAAGTACAGGATGTCCAGTTATTGAGGTGTCAGAGTGTTATTGTTGGCCATGATGAAATGCCTGGACAGGAGGGGACTGTAGCAGTGACTCAGGCCCTGCTGCTGTGAACAGTTTGTTTTGTGCACTAAAAAACACAGGACAAGAGTTCCCAGCTTTTATATTTGGGGCACTCGGTCTCTGTGTGACTCCTGCTCATCATTCATGGGGAATTCACTGCTGGGCTGGGTTATAAAGCATTGAATCTTCAGTCCTTACAGCAGCTTGCTTTCTCTGCTTATTTGTGTGCACACATTATCAGTGTGAACCTCAAAGTTTGGTTTCCAAGGGCCAAAATGTCCCTATTGTACCTTCCAGCTGTGCTTATGAACCTCTCTCATTTAGACTCTCGTTTTTTCACTGAGAGTTGAATCCTCTCAACTTTTCTGGGCAGTCTGGGAAGGATGCTGAGGGTTGCAAGTGGAGCACACCACAGCCTCTGAAAGGATTTCCTGGCTCCTGGTGACGAGTTGCTGAAATAGCTTTTTATTTGACTGATTTCTATAGTGACTGTTGCCCTGGCAGCAAAACTTAGAGAGTAGAAGCACAAACACGAGCAGGGCACAATTTGGTTTCTGAAGGCTTAGGTTTTCTTTGCTTTGGTTGGGTTTCAAAGAGCTTTAGGAGGAGTTTCAAGATGAACAAATAGATAAGGGAGGTGTTTTTTTACTGGTTTGAGTGGATGTGGGTTTGTCTCATCAGTATTAATTGTGAGAATTAACCATTTCTGCTTGCAAGGAGACCCCAGACCTGGGCCTTGTCCTCAGCACAGGAAAGATGTGGAGCTGTTGGAGCAAGTCCAGAGGAGGCCTTGGAGATGCTCTAGGGCTGGAGCCCCTCTGGAGCCAGGCTGGGAGAGCTGGGGGTGCTCACCTGGAGAGGAGAAGGCTCCAGAGAGAGCTCAGAGCCCCTGCCAGGGCCTAAAGGGGCTCCAGGAGAGCTGGAGAGGGACTGGGGACAAGGGATGGAGGGACAGGACACAGGGAATGGCTTCAAAATGACAGAGGGCAGGGATGGATGGGACATTGGGAATTAGGATGGGAATTAGGAATTGTTCCTTCCCAGTGTGGGCAGACCCTGGCACAGGTGCCCAGAGCAGCTGGGGCTGCCCCTGCATCCCTGGCAGTGCCCAAGGCCAGGCTGGAGCAGCCTGGGACAGTGGAAGGTGTCCCTGCCATGGCAGGGGTGATGCTGGATGAGCTTTAAGGTCCCTCCCAAGCCAGATCATTCCATGATTCTCATGTGGAGAGAGAGAATTCATCAGCTGATGAATTCATGGCTGATTATCTTGTTCTTTAACCAAAAAGGTTGATGCTCCCACCTTTGCTCCTTGTGCCCAGTTGATCTGAGAAGAGCAGGTCTTGATGGGCAGGGTTGTAGCAGTGCACCCCAAATCCTTGTTTAACCCTCTGGCACGGCCCTGGCCAAGGTGTGGGTGGAAATGTTGGTGGGAATTACTCCCCATGTTTTGAGTTAGCACTTCAGTGTTTTCTGGCAACAGCAGAAAAAGGTCCTGTAAACACAAGGAGGTGCCACCTGGAGCCCTTGATGAGGTTGTTTCATCCTGCTCACTCTTGTGTGGGTATTTTGAGGTACTGGTTTTCCACAGCATCATTATCACGGTGCAGTTGGTATTGTTATGATAATCACATTGTTATTTATAATTCCTTGTCGGGTTCAGGCTCCTTAATGAGGCAGCTGTGCTGCAGATGGAGGGAATTTTTAGTTACCCAGGCTAAAGAACCTGTGGCAGAGCTGGGGAGGTTTGTGTGTGCCTCATCCTCATGGGACCACGCTGAGCCTGGGCACATGGCCTGGCTGCAGCTGACACTGCTCCCCACCTTCTGTCTTCAGGAGAGGAGAAGACCTTTTGTGGAAGGGAAGGGCTCAGGGAGAGCTGTGAGTCACCCATAGTTCCTGCAAACCACACCCCATCAGGCTTTCATGGCTGCACCATAGGGAATGAGGAATTTTTAATGTGACAAGCTGGAAGGTGTGAGTAAAGAAGCTTTTTTGCCTTTTCCTCCCCCATTAGACAGGCTGTGAAAACAGTCTTGAATAAGAAGTGGAGTTAAAATTTTTAGTTGGTTTTCCTCATTTTAACTTCCAGTGAAAGCAACTCATCTCCATGGCCTGTGTTCTTGGCAGAGGATTACCTTTCCTCCTGTATCATTTACTCTGCTTTTACAAGAGGTGCTTGATAGTGATTTCCACTGGTGGAAATTTTGGAACTGATGGTAGTTTCCAGCAATATTGCCCAAACCTGCAGTTTTACTGCAAGGCACACTTCTGTTGGTTTTTGTCAGGCTGCCAGGCCAGGTATCCTGGGGTCACACCAGCATTTTGGGACTCTTTTGCCAGTATCCAAGTCCTATTTGCAGCTGGCAACAGATTTTTCCATCTGGAGCTCATCTTAGAACCTGCTGGAAGCTTTCATGGAATGGTTTAGGTTGGAAAAGCCCTCTAAGCTCATCAAGTCCAACCATTCCCCCAGGCACTCCCAAGGCCACCACTAACCCCTGTCCCCAAGTGCCACATCTACAAATGTTTTAAATCCCTCCAGGCAGGGATGATGACTCTGCCACTGCCCTGGGCAACCTATTCCAGGGCTGGACAACTTTTTCCATGGAGAAATTTTTCCTAGTATCCAATCTAGACCTTTCTTAGCAATGGAGATGTGGTTTGAAGGTTGGCTACAGGCTCCTGAACTGTGTCTTTAAATGTTGTCAGGGTGGACAGGAGGCTGCTCTGTCAGGTTCAGGGATTTGGGAAACTGGGATTTAGGCACTCCAGTGTTGAAAACTGAAAAGGTTTAGTTAATATTGGTCTACCTTGTGTGCCCACAGAATGCTCAGACAACCCCAAAGCCAGGCTGGATGGCTGCTGCAGGCCCAGAGCTCAGCTGGGGAAACAGCATTAAAAATAAATAACTTTGGCTTTGTACATTGTGAGGCACCATCCTGGGAAGCAACAAGAAGTCTGTTAGGATTGTCTGTTGGGAATTTGTGCTGCCAGAGCTGGGATTTGAAATGAGCTCATGGAGATGGGCAGGTGGAGCTGAGCTGCTGCTCAGTCCTGGCCTTGTAGGAGCTTCTAATGTGGGTTACCATGCATAATTCAGGCCATCCTTTTTCCATGTTCAGAGCTCTGTAACTAAATACTGATTTGCTAAACACAACGTGAATAATGAAGCAATCTGTGGCTTGAAAGCCTTCCTCAGTATTGAAAGAAAAGGAAGCAAACAGAGCTGTATCCTCACTTCTGCTCTAAAACAACACAGATTTGCACAAAGTGGAAGAGTCATCTTCATCCCTTGCTCTGTGGATTTAAATGTCTGCACATTCCTGGTGTCCAGAAGGGACAGGTGGCCTGTCCAAAGTACTGCCAATCCTTCCATTCAAGGCTTTTTCTTTTATCTACCATCACAGTTCCTGCCATGGAAAAACAAATTTAAAACTGCACCTTGTGTTTCTTGCCGGGTTTAGAGGTAACAGGTCAGAAAATGAATTGGTGTGCAGTGTGGTCATGTTTACATAGGAGTAAAGCACTGTATCTGTTCTGAGCCACTTCAGCTCAAATCATGCCAGTAGGGTAAATTATTTTGGTTTTCCTCAGTCACAACTTTGCTCCCTTTGATGAAACACAAACACTTGGGAGCCTGTAAGAGGCTAAAAATATTCTTTCAGCTGATAAAGGCTTGATTTGACTTTTGAAAATATGAAGTGGTTTTTTTCCCTGTGCTGTTACCTTCTCACTTCATGTTTATGAGCTGCAGCAGAGCACGTGGTCTGTGGGATGGTGGGGCTTCCACTGCTTTCCTCTCCTTGCTCTGGGGAGGAGCAGTTTTGGTTTTTGGTTGAATAAACACCTCACACCTGAGGATTTCCTGGCGGTCACTGCCATCATTACTTTGTTTGCTGCTTGTGTCTCAAAAATTTAGGAGGAGATTCCAAGCAAGTCACTTGTGTGTGCTTGTAACTTTTGTACTTGAAGTAATCAGCTTTTCTAAAAGCTATTTCTGCAATTCATTTGGTATAGAAGTTTCTTACCTAGTTCCTCTTTTTAAAAAAAAAACAACAATAAAAAATTTCTCCTGGTTCCTTTTTTTTAATCTGGTAGACAACATTTCTTTGAATTGGAGCAGTATACCCTGGTAACAGTCAAATTTACCTCACAGAGCTACTAAATACTTACAAACCTAAATGCTTCAGTTTATTTTCAGGCTAATCTGCTTGATTATTGATTTTCCTGCTGCTCTTTTGACCCAGAGAGTAGATCCTTCCTTACCTACATCAATTTTTTAGTGTTGATGAGTATATGTGGCACCTGGAGGAGTTCTAGGGTGGGTTGCATGGGACTTGGAGCAAGCTGGTCTAGTGGAATGTGTCCCTGCCCATGGAATGGGATGAGCTTTAAGGTCCCTTCCAACCCAAACCAGTCTGGGATTTTGTGATTTTATGATTTTTGCCTTGCAGAATGAAAAACAGATTTTGCATTCAATCCCTGGTGCCACACATTCCATTAAGGTACCAGTCTCTAAGGGGTAGAAGAGGTTTCTACCACAAATAATACCAAATATTTGCTCTGTAGCTCCTTAAATCCATGAGTATGGTGATTGTTAGAGGAGTTTTGGGTGTTGCTCATGGACTAGAGCATTGAAATGGAAAATGTAACAAACACAGAGCAGGAGGGAAGCTTCCCACAGCTGCAAAGTGGTGTTCAAGGTGGTGTTGTTTTAAGAAACCAATGGTGAGCTCGGGAAGGACGGTGCAGTGTGTAAAAGGCTGGAGCTCAAATCTCCAGAGTCTGTTGTCCATCCCAACCCAAGCACAGCTGGTTTTGTGCAGGAATTTTGACACTGAATGTCGTGCTAATGCCTGGTTCTGTGTTTCTCTCCCCCTTCCCAGGAAGAAGAATGCCAACACAAAGATGAAGTAGAGCGTTTCCTACGCTGGCCGCACGCCGGTGTCGGCTGGGTAGGGACGGGCTCTGCCTCTGGCCAAACCCATTCCAGGGACAACAAGATGAAGCCAAGGAGGAGCTTCCCACCACGCTGGAGCCGCAGTGACTGCTGCCCACTTTAAAAAGCCCATGTGCCACCGTCCCTGGCGAGATGAAAGAAGTGGTGCTGTGGTCACCCGAGGAGGTGACCGGCTGGCTGACGGACAATGCCATGCCGGAGTACTGTGAGCCCCTGAAGAACTTCACCGGGCGGGACCTCATCAACCTGACAGAGGAGGATTTCAAGAAATCCCCTCTGTCCCGGGTGTCTTCCGACAGCGGGCAGCGGCTGTTGAACATGATCGAGGGGCTGAAGATGGCTCACCACATGGAGGCTCACAAGAACGGCCACGCCAACGGGCACGTGCGCGCCGGCGACGCCGCGCGCCAGAACGGCTTCGGCGCCGCGCTCAAGCTCAATGGGGGCGTCCCCAACGGGTTCAAGAAGGAGATGATCAAGATCCCCATGCCCGAGCCGGAGCGCTCGCAGTATCCCATGGAGTGGGGCAAGACTTTCCTGGCTTTTATTTATGCACTTTTTTGTTTCGTCTTCACCACGGTGACTATCTCGGTGGTTCATGAACGAGTGCCTCCCAAGGAGGTGCAGCCTCCCCTCCCAGATGCATTTTTTGATCGCTTTGATCGGGTGCAATGGGCTTTTTCTATTTGTGAAATCAACGGCATGATCCTTGTAGGACTGTGGTTTGTTCAGTGGCTGCTCTTAAAATACAAGTAAGTAAAACCTTTTCAAAACTTGAGTGCTTCTGACAGCTTTTGGAGGGCAGATGCTGGTTTGCACCCAAACAAAATGAAGCTTCATGTGATCTTCTAATCTCAGTTTTCAAAGGTGAAGTAGCATGCAGTGTGAGCTGCTTGTGCAGAAGGCAGAGGTCCAAATGTTCCCTGAGAAGCTGAGCAACGCCCCTGCTCGTGTTTTTCTGAGTGGTTAACTCGAAGCTTTTCCATGGGTGAAAAGCCATGGATTGGATGAAATGATGTTCTGAACTCACTGTTTGTTCAGAGAGAACACAACTCATGCTTTTGTTGTGAGGGCAGCTGTGAGCCAGGATCCAAGGGAATGGCTGGAGCTGTGCCAGGGGAGGTTTAGGTTGGAATTCAGGGAAAGGTTCTTCCCCCAGAGGGTGCTGGGCACTGCCCAGGCTCTCCAGGGAATGAGCACAGCCCCAAGGCTGCTAGAGCTCTAGGAGGGTTTGTGCAATGCTCCCAAGGATGTATGGAGTGGGATTATTGGGGTATCTGTGCAGGGGCTGGAGCTGGATCAATGATCCTTGTGGGTCCCTTGCAGCTCAGGATATTCCATGATTTTAAACCAAAGAGAAACAGCCAGAGGGGGTGAGTGTGGGATTGCCCCCAAGAAGGAGGTGTGGGGTTAATAGGGCCATCCCAGGGATCAAACACCCTGTGGTGGAGCTGAGCAGAGCCTGCAGGTGAGGAACAGCAGAATCCTTGGAGATGTTGAAGCAGTGAGATGTGGGTTGAGTTGATGTAACACACATACATTGGTGTCACTGGCAGTGATGTATGTGAAGGTTCATACACATCACTGTGAAGGTGTGAAGGTTCCCCCATACCGTGTCCCCATTTGCCTTGGGGTGTCTGTTTTTATTTTTGTTATGGAATCACAGAATGTTTGGGGCTGGAAGAGACCCTAAAGGTCATCCCATTCCAACCCTCTGCCATGGCAAGTCCCCTTTGGAAGGGCCTTTTCTGGTGTTAGGGGAAAATGCCAGGGAGTCCCAGAGCTTGGTCAGTCTGTGCACTGATCATGGAATGTTTCAAGGACCAAAATCCCTCTTTTCTATCCATGAGCAGAGGGATCAAGGTCCCGAGCTGTGGCTGAGCAGGAGAAAGGGAAGAGCAGGAGAAAGGGAAGAGCAGGAGAGGTGCTGGCAGGAACAGGAGCCCAGTGAGGTGGCTTCACCTGGAGAACCTTGTTCTTGTGGTTTTGGATGGTGCACACCAAAGGAGTGGTGACTCAGTGCTGCAGAAAAGCTGAATCCCTTTTGTGGTGGGGTTATCCCCTCCCTTTGAAACTTAATTCAGGAATAAAGGGAGGGCATTGGGCCAGATGGGCCTTCCTCACTTCTGCTTCCTCATCCCTGGAGGTGCCCAGGGCCAGGCTGGACACTGGGGCTTGGAGCAGCCTGGGACAGTGGAAGGTATCCCTGCCCCCATGGCAGGGGTGGCACTGGATGGGCTTTAAGGTCCTTTCCAAGGCAAACATTCTGTGATTCCATGATTCTAATGCTGTCCATGGCATGGGATGGGGCTGGTGTCTCTCCAGAAGGCAGGAGCAGGTCTGGCTGGGCACTCTGGAGTTTCCACAGGGAGCTGAAGGAAGCTGCTGAGGTAGATGAATGAACTTCCCTGGGAAGCATTCCCAGATGCTGTGGGAGAAGCACAATGCCAGGATTGTGTTTGGCTCATGGGGCTGAAGGAGCAGCCTGCTCCCTGCTGAGGTCTGCAGAGCTGGGCTGGAGCTCTCTGGGCCAGGAATACGTGTGGAGGTTGGACTGGCTGGCTCTGAGTCTCACATTCACACAAATCCTCCTGGCAGAAAGGGAAATAGGAGGGTTTTTACATTTATTTTTACTTTCTATTACAGTGCAGAGCTCTCTCAGATTTTCCCAAGTTAAAATATGCCAAATCCAGCAAAATCAAGTGGTAGTTTTGATTAAAAAAAGAAATTCAGTGCTTGGAAAAATGCTTCTTTGGTCTCTCAGAATATGGTGTTGCTCAGCCTTTAATCCCCAACCCCCTGTTTGCCTTAATGTTAAAAAGAAAAAAAACAGGTTCATGTCTGGTTCTAAAAGCCACAGGGGTGAGATAGGAGAGGAAAAATTCTGCAGAGGAGAACCCCTGCTCTACTGGAGTGCTGCCCTCCACACTTAAATTTCAGTTTGTGGAACAAGATTAATAATTATCATTCTTAACTCACATGTTTACACCAGGAGAGGGAAGAAAAAAGTCTGGAATAGTGTGTTACAGCAGAGAGTACTCCAGTGCAAAATGTGTTTAGCCTGCAAGAGTTGAATTTTTCCTGATAAATCAAGGCACTCAAGGTGTTACTGATCTGGCACTGCAAACTCATACCCCTCCAAGAGTGGAGCACTCCAGTTTAATAACCATGCCAAAAGCACTGAAAAATGTAAAAGCTGGCCAATTTTGATTTTTGAAAGAGCTCAGCTTGATAGGAATATTATTTTTTTTAAGTGAGCAAAATAGCAACAAAGGAATTCCAGTGCCTGAAGGGAACCTCCAAGAAGGAAGGAGAGAGACTCTTTTGAAGGGCTTGGAGGGACAGGACACAGGGAATGGGTTCAGATTGACAGAGGGCAGGGCTGGATGGGACATTGGGAATGAGGAATTGTTCCCTGGCAGGGTGGGCAGGCCCTGGCACAGGGTGCCCAGAGCAGCTGGGGCTGCCCCTGGATCCCTGGCAGTGCCCAAGGCCAGGCTGGGCACTGGGGCTGGGAGCACTTGGGGACAGTGGAATGAGATGATCTTGAAGATTTCTTCCAATCCACTCTGTTCTTGGATTCTGTGAATGCCAGAGCCTGCAGCTTGAAATGGCCATGAGTGCAAAGAGCAGTGATTTAAAATGACCCAAACCCACGGGGTCTGTAGCCAGTGGCACATGAAGGGTGATTGCTGTACTTGGATTCATCCCTGATTTCTGTAACCCTGGCAGTGATCTCTCCTTAGGATCTCTCCAGAGGCTGCTCCTGTCCTGGTGGATGTGCCAGGAGAGGTTTCATTGTCTTTCTTGGAGGTGTTTTTAGGTTGTGGGGCTGGCTGTCCCTCCTGAGCCCATCCATCCTTTACCCCAGGTGCTCGTGCTGGTTTTGCAGAAGCACCTCACAGTAGCCCAGATGTGCATCTGCCCTCTCTGTGAGCATCAGCCCTCACTAATAAATGTCTCTGCAGCTGTGGCTGCTGAGTGGCTTCCCTGCAAACACCCTGTCCTGCAGCCAGGCCAGCTCTGCATTTTTATTTGGGAGCTTTCCTTGCTGATGTGAACTGCTTCCTTTATAATGCTGCTCAGGAAAGATGTGTTCTCTCACTCCTCTGGCTTATACAGGAGACCCTTTGTAATCACTGAATTGTGTGTCAGCTGAAATAAACTTACTCCTTTTCATCCCACAATGAAAATCCTGTAACTTTATCCCCTGCCTCAGATAGGAAATCAGTGACTGGCCACAGCTAATGGAGGGGTGTGGGGCATGAAATCCCCTTTAAAGTCTTCAGCAGCCAATCTGCACAGGCTTTTGCATCCTAATCCTTAGATTTCCTGTATTCACCTTCAAAGGCAGTGTGAGCTGTGTTGCTGCTGTGTTCCTGGCCTGGAAGGCGTGGGAATATTTGTGGGGTAGTTCAGCATTCCCAGGTGTAAGCTGATAGTGTCACGAGTTTCCAAAGCATCAGGAGGAACCAGCTGCTGCTTTGTTTTATTTCCCTTTGTGGATTTTGTTTGCCTCCTTATTTGTGCCTGTTTTTTCTCCCTGCCAGGTCTATAATTAGCAGAAGATTTTTCTGTATCGTTGGCACACTATACCTGTACCGGTGTATTACCATGTATGTGACTACACTCCCAGTACCTGGAATGCATTTCAAGTGCTCTCCAAAGGTAAATTCCTCCTGCCTGCCCTCATCTGCCTGTTTCCCCTTCATCCTGCTCTTCCCAAAACTGCTTTGTCAAAAAAGTGTTTCTGAGGGAGGAGATTCTGCCCCCCTGCCCTGCTCAGGTGAGAGCCCACCTGGAATTCTGTGCACAGTTCTGGTGTCTCCAACATAAGGAGGACATGGAATTGTTGGAGCAGGTCCAGAGGAGGTCATGGAGATGCTGAGGGGTCTGGAGCCAGGCTGGGAGAGCTGGGAATGCTCAGCCTGGAGAAGGGAAGGGTGTGGGGAGACCTCAGAGCTCCTGCCAGGGCCTGATGGGACACAGGGGAGCTGGAGAGGGACCCTGCAACAGGGACTGGAGGGACAGGACACAGGGAATGGCTCCCAGTGCCAGAGGGCAGGGCTGGATGGGATATTGGGAATGAGGAATTGTTCCCTGGCAGGGTGGGCAGGCCCTGGCACAGGGTGCCCAGAGCAGCTGGGGCTGCCCCTGCATCCCTGGCAGTGCCCAAGGCCAGGCTGGAGCAGCCTGGGACAGGGGAAGGTGTCCCTGCCATGGCAGGGGTGGAATGGGTGAACTTCAAGCCCAAGCCAGCCCAAACCATTCTATAATTTTAATTTGAGAGTGCTGGTTTGGTGTGACAGGGACACCCTTCTCCAGGTCACTGGCTGCCCTCTCAGTGGAGGTGCAGGGATTCCCACCCTTTTCAAAGCACTGAGCTACCCAAATTCTGTGGCATTTTCAGCTAATTTGCATGATCAGCATGTTCCTGTCCCCACTGAAGCTGCTGAAGGTGTGCAACCTTTGCCATGTGTGAGTCACTGATTTCTAAATGAATACACACCTCAGTGTGTCAAATCCAAATAGGATTTGTGGTTGAAAATGGCTCAGAGAGACTTTCCTAAGGCTGTCTCCTGCACATATTTTTGCAATTCTGTTAGCACAAGGACTTCTCACCTCCTCCCCAGTCCAGCCCTGACTCCCAGGGATAAATTGTGAAAGCTGTGGCTGAAACCAGGCTACTGGGACAGAGGTGTTGACCCTTGTGGTCAGCCTGGGAGGGTGATTCAATGCTCAGGGTGGAGATGGGACAGAGCTGGTGGTGTTGCATCCACCCCTGGTCACTCCAGCATTGCTGGAATCCTGGTCCTTGCTGCAATTCCTGGGGCTGGCTGTGCTGTGACAGCTGAAGCAGGAGAAAGGGCACAAGCACAGCCACAAGTCAGCTGGAAGTTGTAAAAATCACTGAGGTACAGGTAATAAAAGCCTGATTGGACTTGATCCACGTGCTGAGGTACAGGTTGTAAAATCCTGATTGGACTTGATCCATGTGCTGGCGTTGTTTTGGTGAGGATTGGCACATCCAAACAAAGCTTTGGTTCCTCAGGGAAGTCCAGCCAGTGTTTGCCAAGGAAGAACTTTGGTTTTTTTTGAGGGATTTTGGAAAGAGAAATGAGTAGGAGAGGATTCAGCCCTGTGCTTGAACAGCCTGCTGCCCGGAAATTTAAAAAGAGAGAACACAGGTATTTATGGGCTGAAGTGAATAAATCTGCCTGTTTGGGGAATTTGGGGAATTTATGGCCTTGGCAAATCCTTCTCATTACTCAAGTAGAGACAAACTGAGGGCCCTGATAAGATTAAGGAGTTTTCTTGAAAGCCCTAAATGTCCTGGTGGGAAAAGAATAACCTCTCAACACCTTACTGAGTTCTATGTGATTGTGAAAAGTGGGCTTTGGGGAGCAGTTTAGTGTTTGTGAGCAACTGTTAGCAGGAAATGTTTAATTCCTGCAAAGAACATGCTCCAGTCTGTCAGAAATTATTAATTTCCACTTCTTAAAGCAAGGCCAAGCTTTAAAATAAAAACATAATGGCCAGCCTGGGTGTGTGTGTGTGTGTGTGTGTTTCCTTCTGACAGTTCAGTGGTGTCCATGGATTTGCAAACACCATAAAATTAGGTGAGGATGCAGCACAGGTGTGCATTGATCCATTAGTCCCTGCTTCCTGATAGGTCCCAGAGCTTCTCCACACATCCTGGTTGTCCCATGGCTTACAGTTTTTGTGGATTTGTTTAATATTTGGCCTTGGTTAAGAGCAGCAAAAGTGTTGGGCAGTGCCAGCTGCCCTCGGTCACTCGGGAGGGGGAGCAGAGTGTCCTCTGGGAAGGACTTGGTTTGCTTGGATTTGGCTTTCCTTGGGCAAACTGAAGTTTTTCCAGGAATATTCCATGAGCCAGTGTCATGGTTGGGGTGGGTCAGAGCAAATCTGGGTGTGGAGGGAGATCCCTGTTTGGATTCCAAGCACAAGTGTGGCCCTGTGCTCTGACAGACAGCACAGATGTTTCTGTTGGAGTGGGAAGCAGAAGGAAATGATCTAGCAGGCTTTTCCAAGGCCTTGGGGTTTGGACTGAGATGCTCCTCTGTTCATCAGATCCTGGCTTTGGCTGTTCAGTCTGGGCAGTTCCTTCTGGTTTCTGTTGGATGATCACCAGCAGGGCCTGTGCTGTTACCAACAACATGAACTAAATTCAACCTTGTTTATTTTAGAGTGTCCTGCCTCTTGAACAGAAGGAAAATCTCACCTGAGCACCAGCTACAAGAGCTGCAAAGCATCAAAACACTCATGTCTCATTCCCAGTCTTTTTCCTGCTAGAAATGTGCTGCCAGCTTTTGGGAAAAGCTGAGGATTTATTTATCTGCTGATTGATCTTGTGGATCCAAGCAGAAGGGGAGGAGAACTGTGGCATTCACATTCTCTGATAAAATCCCTTTGCCCAGGATTTTTCTCCTGGGAAGCTGAGAAGCCTCAGAGAAAAGGAAAACAATTCTTATCTCATTTGCTTCTCCTGTGTTGTGCTCACATGTGGAATGTGTTTGGAGATTGTTCCATTGCATTCTGCTGGGAGTTGTTTTCACTCTTTGGCCAGTTGGGGCCAAGCTGTGTCAGGACTGGAGAGAGTCATGAGTTTTCATTATTAGCTTTTGAGCATTTAGTAGGTATCCTTCTTTTTATATTCTTTAGGATAGTATAGTATAGTATTCTTTAACATAATTTAGCATTCTTTAATATAATATAATATTATAAAGTAATAAATTAACCTTCTGAGAACATGGAGTCAGATTCATCATTCCTCCCTGCCACGGGCACCCTGCAAGTACTGCAAATACAATAGAGAACTGAAAGGCCAAATTGCTGCTTAAAACCATTGCTTTGAGCTGTGAAATTTTACTGTGCTTTTGTGTTTTGCTGTCCCACCAGCTCTTTGGAGACTGGGAATCTCACCTGAGAAGGATAATGAAGTTGATTGCTGGCGGAGGCTTGTCCATCACGGGCTCCCACAACATGTGTGGGGATTACCTGTACAGCGGCCACACCGTCATCCTCACCCTCACCTACCTGTTCATCAAAGAGTGTGAGTGCCCTGCTGCCCTCCCCTGGTGTGCTGCCTTCCTCACTGAGGGGTTTCTGTTGTGCTCATCAGCCCAGTTCCAGTTAAAATATCTGTGTGTTCCATAACAGCCTCGCGCTGGGTATTGGGGGAAAATTCTTCACTAGAGGGATTGTAAGGGTTTGGGTTGGGAGGGACCTAAAAGCCATCTCATCCCACCCCCTCTATGGCAGGGGCACCTTCCCCTATCCAGGCTGCTCCCAGCCCTGTCCAGCCTGGCCTTGGGCACTGCCAGGGATCCAGGGACAGCCCCAGCTGCTCTGGGAATCTGAACCAGGGCCTGCCCACCCTGCCAGGGAACAATTCCTTCCCCAAATACAATCTAAACACAAGCAGGTTGATTTGACTGGCCAGAATATTTGATATCTTTCTCAAAAGATTTCATAACCTTTCTCATTTCCAAGGATCTCATGACCCCTGAGTACAATTTTAAAGTTCCACCTTTAAGAGAGTGATACTTATTTTGTGATCTCAGCATTCCTGCTGTTAATCTGAGCCCAGGCATCTCTGTGTCAGCCAGGATTGCAGTCCATGACCTCTGCTAATCACTGCAGTTGTCCTGATAAGCTTCCACTTGGGAGTAACCCCTGCTTGTGCTTCTTTGCAGATTCCCCACGGCGACTCTGGTGGTACCACTGGCTCTGCTGGGCTCTCAGCATGGTGGGGATGTTCTGCATCCTCCTTGCTCATGACCACTACACTGTGGACGTGGTGGTGGCTTACTACATCACTACAAGGCTATTCTGGTGGTACCACACAATGGCCAACCAGCAAGTGAGTTCCTGCCACTCCTTGGATGCTCCTGCTCTAGCCTGGGGGGGTGAGAATATCCAGGCTCACCCATGTCCTGTGGAGAGTCTCTCTCTTCCTCCCAGTTATTGGGTCTGTAGGGGAGAAAGAGGGATCATTTCATTGGGTTCTTGACCACAAAATATGGGAAGGGCTTCCCAAAGGCAGGCAGGGCTCTCCCACCCCTGGGTAACCTCAGTTTTTTGAAGTCTTTTCTGAATTTGGGCCAGGTGGCCACATTTGTGACAGAACAACAAACCATTTAGATTCTTTTGCCTTGGTTTTGTTTAGTTTGGTGGCTGAGGCCAGCTGGGGGTTTCCTGTGCTCTGTGGCTTGTGCCACAGGTCCCTCGAGGTGCAGGAGGAGGCCTCAGCTAAAAAGGAACTGGTTTTGAAAGTGTTTCCAGGGGGTGGAGAGTTCTCCTGGCTGGTGAACTGGAGCAATCAGGAAGGAGCTGACAGTGCTGAGGAAGGTGAAACCTCTTCTGCTGTGCAGGGCAGGGTCAGGCTGGAGATCAGGGCAAGGTTCTTCCCCCAGAGGGTGCTGGGTCCAGGCTCCCCAGGGAATGGGCACTGCCAGAGCTCCAGGAGAGCTTGGACACCTCCAGGGATGCCCAGGGTGGGATTGTTGGGGGGTCTTTGCAAGAACAGAGGCTGGACCCATGATCTCTGTGGGTCCCTTCCAGCTGTGCATGTTCCATGGCTCTCTGAGAGGAAATGCACAAGTCTTGTCCTTGGATAGTGGACAAAGGAGTTAAGAGACATTTTTAGCTCCATAGCAGCACATTGGTGTCCAAATATTTTCTGTGCTCATGGTCAAAGATCTTTGGCTTATCTGTGGCATATGCTGTTAATTGTGTGTAATAAAAACCTCCTACAATGGTAGAAGATGAATTTATATTATGACAGTGCAGATTTTAGATCCTATCACAGAATCATCATGGGCTGGAAGGGGCCCTAAAGGTCATGTAGGTCCCACCTCATTATTCCACTGGTTTGGTGCTGCCTGAAGCAAAACACCACAGCCATATTTGCCTAATTGCCAATTAGGTGCCCTTTGATGTTCACTCAGCTTGGGAGGCACTGGCTTCTGTGCCCACGCTCTGCAGCTCCTGTCTCACAAGAGCTGAGGATTCCACACACAATCCAGAGGATTTCACACTTTCACTCTGCTCCTGGGCTCCCAGAGCAGTGGTGGTTCCAAGCTGGAAGTGCTGGAGTCAGGAGTGCCCCCAGTCCTGCTGAGGAATTGCTTCAGCAGAGCTTTGGTGTGGGAACGTTCCTGTCCTGCTGCCTGAGGTGGCTCAGCACTGCTGCCCTGAGCTGCCAGGATGCTGGGAAATGCCAGTCCCTGGCTCCTTCCCTGAGCACACGTTGGTGTGCTGCTCTCTCCTTCCTCCTGCTGGGCCTTGTGCCTGGCCTTAAAAGCATCAATGGATTTATTTAAAACATGAGCTTGACATGGAGATGAAACTCAAGCATACGAGCCCTGTGTGTGCTCGTGTGCACACGTGTGCTCATGTTCCCTTTGGGTGGGTGCATACAGGGATCCCTGGCTCTGGTGTGGATAACAGGCAGCAGAGGGGTTGGATGTGGTTGGTCTGGGGCTTGCTCATGGCTGAGAGAAGCAGAAGGTAGGTGGGAGCAGTCTGGGAGCATGTGGAGGGCAGGGCAGGGTTCTGACTCCTCCAGATGGGTTGGGACGTGCCCTGCTCATGGCTCCACGTTGCAGTAAGGTAGAAAAATTATAAAGAAAAGCCTTATAAAATCAAGCCTGCTCTGGCTAGCCTGTCATTTATTCTAAGGGAAGCTAGCACTGTGCAAGTTCCCATGTGAAAGCAATCCTGGTGTGAGCAGTTCCTTAGCATAACAATCTATTCCTGGGTGAAAAACAACCAGCACCTGTATAAACTGTTTTTACACAGTTAGATAGAAAAATGAAAACTATCTCTCACAAACAACTCTCCTGCACATCCACACTGAGAGTTTGAGTGACCAATCAATACAGAATAACAACTTGTTACTAATAAATAAGTAATTGGCAAGAAAGCTCCTGACCAATTGGAGTCACACACGAGGTCTGTAAAACTGTATAAAAAGGAGTTACATGAATAAGGAAGGGGCTTTTTCCTCCATGAAGAAAATGGAGTCCTGTGTGATGTATACCCATAGCTCCACAAGCACACAGCCAGCCCCAAAGTGATTCCTGAGCCCCATGGAATTTCAGAGGCACTTACAGAGCACATCCTTACAGAACATCCTGCTTTGGGATGGTGTTTTCATTCCCAAAGGAGAGCAGACACCTGTTTTGGGCCACTCCTTCTTTCCTGTGGGCCCACCAAACAACTGAGGTCCTGCAGGCAGGGGTGAGCAGGTTTGGTGTGTGCAAGGAGACTGGGATCTGTTTGGGAGGTGAGATTTTGGGAGCAGCAGGAAGCAGGATGGCACCTATTGGAATATTTACCAGTATAGCTGGATGGGACGTGCCTGAGCTTGTCTGGCCCTTGCTGCTGAACCAAACAGTGGCACTGTGGTGCTTCACCCCAGAGACACTTCTGGGTAGCTGGGTGTGTGGTGCTTCACCCCACAGACACTTTTGGCTGGCTGGATGTGTGGTGTTTCACCCCACAGACACTTTTGGCTGGCTGGATGTGTGGTGTTTCACCCCACAGACACTTTTGGCTGCCTGGGTGCTGTAGCTGGGCACTGGGGACAAGTCCAGGCCTGCAGGAGCTCTGGTGGTGGTGGGATGGATCCTCTTCCCTTCACAGGGTCCACTCCTCAGGTTTTCCTCTGTGGAGAAGCTTTAAGGTGATGGTGAAGGAAGGGAGTCAGTTCTGGTGGAGGGTCTGGATCCAGAGCTTTATCCTGGCCCACAGGGCTCTGAGACCAGCACCAGCTCCAGCAGAACTCTTTGGACTGTGTGGTTGTTGTTCTTTTACCCCAGGCACCTCCCCAGTCACCTCAGGCAGCAGGACAGGAACGTTCCCACACCAAAGCTCTGCTGAAGCAATTCCTCAGCAGGACTGGGGGCACTCCTGACTCCAGCACTTCCAGCTTGGAACCACCACTGCTCTGGGAGCCCAGGAGCAGAGTGAAAGTGTGGAATCCTCTGGATTGTGTGTGGAATCCTCAGCTCTTGTGAGACAGGAGCTGCAGAGCGTGGGCACAGAAGCCAGTGCCTCCCAAGCTGAGTGAACATCAGAGGGCACCTAATTGGCAATTAGGCAAATATGGCTGTGGTGTTTTGCTTCAGGCAGCACCAAACCAGTGGAATAATGAGGTGAGACCTACAAGGGAGGAGGGAAGGGGTAGGGAGCCACCAACCAGGTACAGGAGAGGAGGTCTCAAGGGACAGGGCAGGGTGTAAAGTTTTCTGGGTCTCTTAGAAGGCTGGGGGAGAATAGGGCCAGGGAGATGAGTAGGGAAAGTATCAGTACAAATCCTGCATGGCCCAATGCCCCCCAGGGGTATAGGGCATCCTTTGAATTCTGCCAATCACTCGAGGCCCTTCTGCAATTCCAGGATTGACAGACAGTGCTGGGAGGGGAAAGGAGAGGTGACTGACACACGTGGGAGGGAATGATCAGGGGAGGGACCCAAGGTTCTGAGGTAAACCCTGAAATCACACCTCACCAACCACACACCAACCACCGACAAACGAACGAACAATGGTGGTGCGAATAAAGGACCCGCCCTTCAGCAATCCTCCTTTTGTCCTCCTTCCCCTGCAGGTGCTAAAAGAAGCTTCCCAAACGAACCTCCTTGCAAGGGTGTGGTGGTACAAGCCCTTCCAGTACTTTGAGAAGAATGTGCAAGGCATTGTACCTCGCTCGTACCACTGGCCCCTGCGGTGTCCGGCGCTGGCGCGGGGCCGGCAGGTCAAGTACAGCCGCCTGGTGAGTGACACCAGGTAACAGTGTCACCCTGCAGGACCTGCCCCAAGTGCTCACAACTCCCAGAGAAGATGCCATAAACAAAAACCCCACCGCTCCCCAGCCCCTTTCTTTAGCAGCTCCCCTGGACCTGACCTGTTCAGTTACCTGGTAAGCACTGTGATCTTTTTTTCTCTCCAAAGGATCTGCGTTGGACAACAATAAAAGAGAATTTAACTGATCATGCACTGTTATACATTTCTTGTTGATAGAGTTGGGATTTGCATTTGCCCATCACCATGTTCCTTTGTATATGATGCGACAACATAGATGAAAAAGCTTTTATATCATGAGTTCTGGTCTTTCCAGTCACGTCTGGGAACAAAGCATATTATTTTCTTGGGAAAACATACTTTTCATATCTCTTGCCCCAAAGATTGGGCTGTAAGCCATTTTCTAGCAAATGACTATATGAAGGTTTCTAAATATCTGCCTTGGGTGAAATCAAGAAATCTTTCTACCTGTTGCACCTGCGCTACGAATAAGATGATAGACACAGAAAGGTTTGGTAAATCCTGATTTTGTAGATTCTGCAGTGACTGACTGTGTCAAAAAAGTGCAAAAAAAAAAAAAAAAGAAAAAAAAACCAAAAAAAAAGAGAGAGAAAAAATGTAAAGTGATTTTCTAAGTATTTCCTAACTTTATTTTTCAAAATGTGTATGAGAAAAAAAATTAAATTTAAAAAGATTTTTACATGTCAGAGAATAGAGAGTTAAAAAAATTTAAAGAAAATGCTTCTTGGGAGAGAGAGAGATTTGTCTATGTTTCTAGTGCCTTTCTTGTCTTGATTGTATGGTCAGTAGGCAGTCTTAAATGTTTTTATTTAAAATAAAGTATTCCATGAAAGCAGAATTATATATACTGTATAATGACTAATTTTTGCATTTATAGCTAAATTAAACTGGAAATTTGCTTATAATGTTGAAATTGCCACGTGTAGGGAAAAACCTCCCACCCCACCAAATAAAAAAGGGTCCGACCTTGCTCACACATTGTGGGCAGGTCAAGCTAAAAAAGAATCACTTTATTGTTCTACTTGGTAGCTGGGTTTTAAAAAGCAAAACAGCCATGAATTCCTGTTTTTTAAGAATTTTACAAATGATCACTGAGTGAACTATGAATGGTTTCTCCATCCCCTTATCGGAGTGTTGTTGAAAAACAACAAAGATAATCTATTTCTTTAAAATATTTGTGCAGAAACTGCATGGAATTCTTAAGTTTCCACTCCTACCATACATACTGTATGTTTGGGGAAGTCTCCTATCCTAAACTTGCCAATGTGCAGAACAAAAATAGTTTTTATAAAAAAAAAAAGAATGAAGAAGAGAAAAATATATATATAAATATATATATATATATATCCATTCTGTATTTTACGTGAAGCAGAGTTATCTTCTGTAGGTTTTTTGTGTATTCACAAGGTGATATTTGTATTGTAAAACAACAATGGTGAAGGAAAATAAAAAAGGCTTTTGAAAAATGTAGTTTCCTTTTATCTTCTTAATAATTCAGTTGAAATTTAAAGCTGGGTTTATTCTTCCAAACCTTGCCTTTAAGTTGATGTTATTGCACTGTAGGCCATCCGATGTGGACTGTATGGAAACTGTATTGATGTGGAATTGCTGTTGGGCAAAACAGTGCCTTAATTATCTGAAATAAATGCTATGCAATCGGGAGGAGCCTTCCTGGGAGCCATCTCCAGGCCTTGAAAAATCTACCCTGCAACTGCTGGGATGCAGCACAGGCCAGGGTGGGCATCCCTTCCCCCAGCAGCTGCCAGGAAAAAAAAAAGAGAAGAAAAGCCAATTTCTGTGCGTCCGTGGTGGTGAAAGTGTCATTTTTATTGTAATTTTCCTTTCCTTTCCTTTCCTTTCCTTTCCTTTCCTTTCCTTTCCTTTCCTTTCCTTTCCTTTCCTTTCCTTTCCTTTCCTTTCCTTTCCTTTCCTTTCCTTTCCTTTCCTTTCCTTTCCTTTCCTCTTTCCTCTTTCCTCTTTCCTCTTTCCTCTTTCCTCTTTCCTCTTTCCTTTTTTCTTCCCTCTTCCTTTTCTTTTCCCTTTTCCTTTCCCTTCCCCTTTTCCTTTTTTTTCTTTTTTTGGGGATGTTTTATCTCTGCCTCTCTGCCCTGTTTCTCAGCCTTGGCCAAAACCGTGGAGAGCTGATGGGTTGCTGCTTCTGCTGCTCTGCCTGGGGATGTTCCTTATCAGTTCTGTCTCCCTGGGAGGGATGGAGGGATGCAAGGAGGGAGGGGTTCCTTGGCCAAGCCCTTTGCAACAGCATTTGCAGAGCTGGGTGGGAATTTAGGGCTCAGCTCTGCCTGCTCTGCCTTCAATTCACTGCTTTTTGGGGCTAAAAGTGGGTTTTTCAACAGCCCAAGCCCAGCCCAGCTGATTTTTGAGGTGATTTTTGAGAGATTTGGTGCTCCCAGACGTAACCTGAGGAGTAGATTTTTCAAGACCTGGCATCACGCACACCCGAACCATTGACATAAATAAATGTATGGATATATATGCACATGACATTAAATGGAATCTGCTCAACCCTGCCTTGTGGTGTGTGACTTTGTGCATGGCTCTGGCTCCTCATGGTCCCATCTGTGCTCAGCAGGGCCTGCTGCTGCCTCGGGGAGGGAGCCTGGAAATGGGGGCTGCTGCCTCTGGAGCAGGGGCCCAGGTTGGGTTTGGGACAGAGGTGCTGTGCATTGGCTCACTCCAGGCTGTGGAGCTTGTGCTGCCTTGGCTGGGTGGGATGGGACCTGCCTCGGGGTCAGGGCATGGTGCTGATGGCCAGGATCCCAAATTTCCCTCTGTGTTTTCCCCCTGTCTTGGTTTGGAAAGCCAGGTGCCTGCTAAGGAAGGCAGGAGCCTCCCCTGAAATGGAGAATGTGAACCCTCCCCACCCCTCTGAATTGCTATAAATTTTAAATTAAGGGGCTCTCAGGCAAAAATATGGGAGCAGGAAATAACAGTTCTTTAATAGGGAAAAGGGAAAAATAAAAGGATAAAATAGACAATGCAGTGCACTAGAACAACACTGACAGAGTCAGAACCCAGCCTGACACCCTCTGGGTCAGGGTGTTGGCAGCAGTCCCATTGGAAATGTGGCTGCAGCCCTCCTGCAGTGCCAGGGGTGGTTCTGCTGGAGCAAGGGGGGGTCCTGTAGAGAGGGATGTGTTCTTCCTCTGAAGATCCAGTGGAAGGAGAGGCAGCTGCTGTTCCTCTGGGGAATCCCGTGGAGAAGCCGTGCTGGTGTCTCCAAACCTCTGGATTATATCTGGGTAGCAATGCTTGGCTCCTCCCTCTGGGCTCACATCTCCCAATGGGATGTTACAGTTCTTATCAGCCATGCAGGGACATTCAATGGCTGTTATCAGCAGATGTCCCCTCCCAGGGAGGTGTGAATGTGGTCACTCAAAGAGAGAGATCAGGCAAACTGCCCACTTGACAAAGGTAATCTGCCATACAGATGGGAATGGAAAACACCTTGCACTGGGATTTTCAACAGCCCCAAACTTCAGGTAAGATCCACCTGCAGCCTCTGCAGTCTGGAGGGTGCAGCCAGGGCTGCTGGGGCTCCTCTGCCATCACCTGGCCTCTGAGCTTTGTGTTCCTGGGCTGGATCCTTGGGTGACTTGCAGGGACAATCTTGTCCCAGTTGGAGGCTGAGCCACCAGCCCAGTGATTCCCTTGCCCTGGTGCATTGTTGCCTCTCCCTCCCAGCTCCTGCTGCTCCTCTTTGCTTGGTGCCCCTCAGAGGGGTGAACACAGCAAACCACCAGGCTGTGAGAGCTAGAACCTGGCATTGTGCTGCCCCAACCCCACAGAACTCATGGATCTCCTGGTGAATCCATCCTCTGTGGCCTCCAGCTGAGCTCTCAGGGTGCCTTTAGAGGACAGGCAGGGCCAGGTTTGGATGTGGAGGGGCAAACCTGGACAGGAGGCTGAAAGTGGGAAGAGGGGCCTGCAGCAGAAAAGGCTGGAAAAGGAAGGTTCAGGGTGGGGAAAGAGCTGGGCACAGCAGGATCTCTGCCAGGAGGGTGGGCACTGATGTTGCTGAGATCCATCTGGGTACAGGAATGTGGGGAAGGTTAAATGCAGGCATGGGAGGTGTTGGAGGAGCACAAGAGCAAAGGCAATGATCCCTTTGCTTTCCTGTGCTCTGGAAAGATCAATCCCATCAACCTCCCCCTCCTCTTTTTCCTCAGAACACAGCTCAGTGCTCATTCTCTTCCTGCTGCCAGAGCACTGCCCAAAGAGAAGCCACAAATTCCTGTTCTGGCAACTTCTCCCATGCAGCTCATCAGCTATTGGTCACAAATGTTTGCCAGAAGGTTCTGTGGTTTCCTTTTGCATCCTCTCAATGCCTCTCCTGCCCCTGGCTGTCCATGTGTGCTGCAGAGCTTGGGCAGGGATTGCCAGTGAGAACCAGGATTTGGGCATGGCACCCTTTGTTTAAATCAATAAAGGTTTGGCCACCACTCTCAGGCACTCTGCAGGACCAGGAGTTGGATTTTCATGGTTCCTGGGGGGGTCTCACCCAAATCAGGATATTCTGTGATTCCAAGATGATGCAAGGAGCAGGTTTGGGAGCAGACAGGGCTCCCATAATTTGGCTTTCAGCAGCAGCTCAGCCCCTGCTGGCATGGGTGGACACAGAGCAGCCCACCTTATTCATTTTATGACCATTTTTTTCCCCCCAAAAACCCCAGTGGGATTGAATTTGGATCTGCCCAAGTCTGCATTGCTGTTTCTGGGTGTTGAGGTTTTCCCAGTTTTGTGCCAGAGTTTTTTAGCTTGGCATGTGCTGCTTGGCTCTTCCAGGGACTGATGCTTCCCTGGGGCTGCTGCTGCAGCTTCTGATGAGGGGTGGCAAAATATTCTCAATTTGTGGTGAAGCTTTAACCCCTGGGTAGATGTAAGGCACATCACCTGGGGAATTTTGGGGTGTTCACATGTCTGGCCATAAATTATTAGCAGCAAAAAGTCACCATGAGTTGATTTTGCAGAAGGGCAGGAGAGTTCTTGCTCTTGAGGCAAGGCCAGGGAGGGTGGGGAAGGAAAGGCAAAGCACCCAGGACAACATTTTAATTAAATTTGCCAGGTATCTCTTCAGCTCAGCTGTCACTCATTGACCTGTGCAGGACTTTGAGTTCAGAAACTGCAATTTTGCTACCTTTCCATTCAACCTGCTCCTCCTAAACTCTCCATGTGGGTGTTTTCCAGCAGGAAAACCACATTTTGCCACCGCAAAGAAGTGCTCCCACTTCCAGCTGCTGCTTGGAGCAGGGCTGTGTGTTTAGAGCAGAGAAGAAAACCCACGTGTGGTGCTGGATTTTCACACAGAGCAGCCCTGGGCTGTCCTTGCCAAAGCCTGGCAGGGTTCTTGCTGTCAGCTCTGTGCAAACACTTTTATCTCCTGCCACCCTGAGCCCTGAGCAGAAAGGACTTTGGCCATTTTCTGTTCAATAAACAACATTATGTAAGAGGCCTCTTCACTGCTGTGAGAGCTCTGAGGGCCTCACACCCAGGGTCTCAGCTCTGCACCAGCCACCTGCTCATGCTGAGTGATGGTTATCCCAAATTTCTGCTCAGGACCTGGCCAGGGTGTAGCAAACAGGCTGGAATCAAGGTTTCTGTCCACAGGGATGAGTGAGGCCCTGGCACTGGGGAATTGCCCATCATTACAGGTGATCCACTCTGGCTTCCTAGGAAAAAAGGGATTTTTCCCCTCCTAGAAAGGGGGTTTGATGCAGCCAGTTCCAGGAATACTTCCAGGCCTTCTAATTAAAAAAAAAAAAAAAAAAAAAAAAAAGTAATTTTAAAATTAATTTTCAATCTCTTCATTGCTCATCAGAAGAGATTTTGTTTCAGAAGGTTTACAGACCCTCACACCCAGGGCCTCAGCTCTGCACCAGCCACCTGCTCATGCTGAGTGATGGTTATCCCAAATTTCTGCTCAGGACCTGGTCAGGGTGTAGCAAACAGGCTGGAATCAAGGTTTCTGTCCACAGGGATGAGTGAGGCCCTGGCCCTGGGGAATTGCCCATCATTACAGGTGAAAAAAGGGATTTTTTTTTTCCCCCCTAGAACAAGTGGGACAAAAATTATGAAGCCACTTTCAGGAATCCTTCTATTTATTTTTTTTTTAAGTAATTTTTAAAAGTAATTTTTAGTCTCTTCACTGCCCCATCAGAAGAGTTTTTGTTTCAGAAAGTTTACAGACAATATCGTGGCCTGAGCATATTTAAGAGAAGAGTTTGGTTTTACCCAGTTAGTTTTAGTTTTACCCAGTCCCAGCTTGGATGGTTTACAGAAAGTCAGCTCTCCAAGGGACCAGGAAATGCTGGTTTTAGAGTGAAATTTGGGTGCTGTAGGAAAGGGCCACTTCTCTGAAATATTCTGGTCTGGCTCGGGAGGGATGAGGGACTGAAAAATGAGGAAAGGAAAGGAAATGCTTCATGGGTTTATATTTCAAAGTAAATTGTCTTAATTTATTTATTTTTCCAGTGTAGAGGTAGTTTGAATCCTCTTTCTTAATGATGTGGAAGCAGAAGGTTCAGTGAGGGAAGAAATGCACATTTGGCCACCTGTATTGAGGGGTTTCCCCTGTGCCAGCTGTGCCTGGTTCCTTCGGTGGATCCATTCATCCCAGCTGGGTTTGAACATTTCTCCTGCTCAGGATGGAATCCCTGGGCTCTTTGCAGCCCCTGGGGAGGTCACAGAGAGTCCCATGGTAGCACTGATGGGGAGGAACCTTTTTTCAGCAGGATGGAGATTGGAAAAAAAAATTTAAAAAAAAATCACTTTCTTTAGACTGATTTGGCACAAAATGGCACCGGGGAGCAGCTGGAGGACGCCTGGTCGGGGGAAGGAGGATGGTCTATGGGAACTTCTCACCTTCTCACCTTGCCACAGGCAGGGAGGCATTCAGAGAGACCTACCCAGCCCTTTGCACTTTAAGCTGAGGTGTTTGCAGCCCAGAAAGTGCCTTTTCTGCACCAAAAAGCTCCTTGCATCTGCAGTTCTGGGCCTGGACACTGCCAAAGGGAGGGAGGTGGGGAGCTGTGTGTGCCCAGAACCTCAACAGGAAAACAACCTGAAATATAATGCCCAGGGCATGTTTTGAGCTGTCACCAGTCTTCCTTTCCCTCCTCCAGCCCCAGCCACAGGTGGTTACTGAGCCACTTGTCCTCAGCTGTTTGCAGTTTGTGGGGTGAGGCTGGCAGGAGCCTCCATCACAAGAACAATTCCCTAAAACCCCATCTCTAATCAGCTTTCCCTGATGCTCCACCTGCAGGAAGAGCTCTTGCTCTTGCCCAGCCTGTTCCTGGCTCCTCCCTGTGCCAGCAGAGCAGCTGCTCCATGGTTGTGTCTGTCCCCTCCGGTTCCCCCCAAGGATTTGGGACCTGAGCATTCCCAGGGAGCTCTGCCAGCCCACAGGGCTGTTTCCAGGCCCTGCAGGTTCCTTGGGAATTACAGCCAAGGAAGATAAGGTATCTGGCAATCTTGTTTCTCCCAGCAGCCAGTCCAAAGGGCAGAGC